CATAAAAACATAGCTATTTTATCGTGTTCAATTATGATAAATAGATTGAGAATAAATGTCACAACAATTATATTTTTTATTTTACTTATCGATCGCGAGACTCAAAATGATATCGATTTTTTATACTTATTGTTAGATCATATATTCGCAATATTTCCTTTATACAAGATGTTTAATATTTCGACTCACACGAGTATATCATTCAAAGTTTTTAATATAAAAAAATATTTCAAATGAAAGAGAGTTTCAATAGTTTCGAGAGTTTCAAGATATGCATATTATGTATAATGAACATGATATGAAAGAATGAAATAATTCTAATTGTAAGAAATAAATTTTAAAAAACTATCTTTGTTAACTTTTCCGGAAAATATTTTCACATGAAATCGTGGGTTCATGGAACACCTGTAAAGAATCATGACGTTGAAAATGTTCAGACGACCGAGATGACATGCAAAACTGTCTCAGAAAAGAATAGACCAGTGCATCCGCAACAAAATCGAAACCCATGGAGCATCTTCGAGCATCCATTTTCCTCCCGTGATTCTATCTGTACTCGCGTGATCAATCACTATCAATGGCGTTCGTTGCCACTCCGAATAGTGTTCACCGAAGACGGTGGGTGGACATCCCGGACACAATGCTTATAATGGAGCCCGCCGTGTCGATGGAGTCGATCGAATTTACATTACGATGCCAGATCGAACGGTAGTCATACGACGAAAGTAAACCACGCGAGATCTGCGATTAGAAGATTATCGAATCAAAGTTGGCAGTGCAAGTCGATCGATATTAAATTAATCAGGAGAAGGAAAGGTTTCATCTATTTCCGTGACATTTCAGTGACTTATAAATGCGATAAAAAATATACACACACTTGTTTTATTTATTTATTATATATTTTACGCATCAAAGAGAAAGATGGGAGGCCGATGGAATTTCCAAGTTTTACATCAATTACGCTGCGCGCTCTAATCTGATATTTGTTTAACGATGATATAACTTAGGTGATCATATAATCAATGTCAGGTACTCGACACGGAGCGAGGTATATGTATCTTATTAAAACCGGAAGACACTTATCATTCTCACTAACCCCAAGGCGCGCGTGACCCCGTCGGGTATGGCGAGGTGTGTAATTCATTGACTTGGTAACTCGGTGACTTTCACCAGTGATTTACGCGAAAGCTTCATAAGCGGCTTGCCTCAGTTTCAAATTCCGTTCTCTCCTCGTCAATGAGCCCTGCATCGCGCGAGCGCGACAAGGAGAATCCTCATCGCGGCAAAGGAAAGGAGGGGAGGGGAGCTCCGCCGGGACGGAAAAGAGACAGACAAATCCTGGGCGAAGGACATAACGCGCGGCTGGGACGAAAGAGAGAAAAAGAGCGAAGGGAGGGACAGAGAGAGAGAGAGAGAGAGAGAGAAAGAGACAAAGAGAAACGGAGAGAGAAAGACAGAAGGCACGGATAAAGGGGAAACGTAGCAAAGGTTATTTGCACCGAGTTGTCTTTTTTCAGTGCTTTTTGTTCGAACAGTTTGTCGAACGGCTCAGCCGGCTGATCTTCGGGATGATGAGCATGAACTACATTCTATATAAAATCCGGCAGCGCTTCTCTCGAGCGCCAAAGCACGAATGCGCTTTCGCGCGCATCGATCGTTTAACGAGAGTCGTCCTTAAGCGTCTGTGCAAGAAGAGATTTCGGGAACGACTTTGGCGCCCGCAGAAAAGGGATGACCTCCCGAATATCCGGGGCTGATCTCCCTCGTCGAGATCCTTGGAAGATCGCGCGAGCGCACCCAAGTTATAATTCGCGACTTAATTCCGTGTCGAGAGGTCTGTCGTCGCTTTGTTTAATTCCCGCTACTTCGATTTGCGAGTCTCGTTGAGCACGTATTTACGTTTATTCCTACGCTGTCGCTAATCACATTGTTGGATTCATTGTGAATTTCATATTTGCACGCGTATTGTTTTCAGTGCGATATAAACGAGTGATTTTGATTCGTTAATTAAGTACGATATATACGCGTTGTATTTTGGAATCTGCCGCTGAAAACGTTCGCCTGCTCATCTGCCGGCAGAATTTCAGTCACAAATGGAACTCGCTGAGACTAATCCGCAGCTGCGAGCGTTTGTCTCGTTCAATAACGAGGATAATAATCTTTAAGTGCCGTCTTATATTAATTGAAACCGGTGTAGCGAGTGCACAAGATAACAGAGGCGCGAATACCTGTCTGTTTTGGCATTACAAGTAGGATAAGCTACATTAATATAAGTAGATAGCGAACCAATTTTCTTTGTCTCAATGGAATGCCCGCCGAAATGATAATGCGCGATAATTGGAGAAAATTTCGCGATGCAAGTATAGATTACGTTAAAGCGAATCTTAATGTTACCGCAAATATTACGATTTTACGAGTAAAAAACGGCAGTAGAATTGCTGCCGATTAATTAATTAATCGTGTCAAATTGCGATCGGTGGTTCTTACTTTAATGCTGTGTAATACCTGTAATACCACTATCGATTTGATGCAGATCTCTTAATGCTACCGGGAGTAGATTACAGTTTAAAAACTGCGCGAGCGTTTTATGCGCCTTATCGCGTAATTTGAGTTAAAACCGACAATAAATCTGTTAATCTTTCCACGCATATTGCCCTATTGTTTGCAGAAATAATTTTAGCGTATCATCAACTGCAAACAAAAAATAACAATTTTGGAAAAAAACTATTTCCTCTTTTTTTTTCACTTGTGAAAATGTAAATCCGCTTACAAAGTATCTTACTTATTATCAGCATAATCAGACCGAGTCGTATCAGTGTGATAAGCTTCAATAGTTCCTTTAATAATTATTTCTTTTCAAACAAATACATTTTTAGACAATCTTCTTGCTACGAGATAAAATGAAATAACGAAAGTGTATTTCTTTTGTCAATTTCCCGCTTTACTCTGCCATAGTGAAAGTACATGATTATTTGCTCCATGTACACACTATATGTCGTTGATTTTTTCTCCCCATTTCGCATCTTTGCGCAAATTCAAGAGAGGACATCAAACATTCTCGCGGCGAACCACTTTTCACACACACATACATACAGGACATTATTTACGTTAGTGCCACGTGTGTTCGGAATCGCTAATTCCCACGAGCTGCAAACGAGAAAGATGGAAAGAGAGCGGGACACTAGCACGTCTCGACGATAATTTCCGTCTGTCAAAAGAGACGCGCGTTTCGTCCCGTCATCTTCGTGAAATCGATGACACGAGCAGGTGCAAGATCGGCGAAATCGACTACGGCGCCTCGTCATGTCCCGATCCGTCAATGAGGAAAATTGGCGTAAGAGCGCATGAATGGGCCCCGGTAGTGAATAAAGTGGCCGCGGCGTTAGTATAGGTTTATGGAAGCAAGCCGGTTTTAGCTACGCTAATAGCATAGTAATGCTGGCTGATCTTTTCGAAATCCCGTAAGAGCATTAACCGCTCGCACGTGAGCAAGTTAAATTGCTATGTTGTGGGTATACCGCGGGTATGTAGCTATCACCTGGCTACAGAGCGCGTCAAAAGGAAGGGTGGAGGATCGCCGACGGATCGGGGGCTCGGGACCCGCCGTCGGGGAGAAAAATTATTCGCGCTGGCGTCTTGGAGCGGTAACGAGATTAAAGCATCGAGATCCTAGCGCGAGAGAGGACGAGCGTCGAAGAGCCGAGGGATCCGCTCGTCGAGATTATTATCGCGCGTGCCATCGGATTTTGAGACAGGCTGTAACGTGATTTTCGATAACCTGCTAATAAGACGCGATCTGTATTCCATGGGCGTGCGTTTAATGTTACGATGGACGGAAATTATAGCGTGATTACTTCATTCTCGTGCCTTGCGAACATAACGTGACACGAACATTTATATAACAATATATTCGTCATGGTTTTTGTCCATAATAAATTTTTATCTGTTTTCCATAAACATCCGATGCAACTTTTTCATATCTATCGAGTGCTAAAAATTATAATTCGTTTATGTAAGTACTAAAGTAAATACATTCCCGAAGTTTTCCCTCGCAAAATACGATAAGAGGAGCAAAGAAATGATTGAGCATCCTAACATTAATATTTAATTAAAATTGCTGCCTCTGATATTTCGCTTTCTTTTTTTAACAATAATCAAATTTTTCCTTGTCTTTGCACATATCACTTTTATAAATGCAAATAAAAAATATACGAAAATTCATTTGTAATACATTTGATCGAATCAATCTTGTCTACATGTTCTGCGGGAAAAAATTTTAATCTCGACGAGTAATCGCGAGCAGGAGTCAATTGCTCTCTCGCCAAGAAGTGCCAAAACATGCTCGTTCTTAACGTAGCAAAGTAATGGCCAGCGAGAGAGAGAGACGGAGAGAAAGAGAGAGAGAGAGAGAGACTCTTACCTATTTTCCCGTAATCTATTCGTACACTCTTTGGAGCGAAAAAGATATATCGCGGACGCGAGCGAAGCCCGTTGCGCGGTGAAAAAGGGACAGGGAAGAGCGGGAGAAGAGAGGACTCCAGGTTTGAGTATATTTTTAGAGACGGACTGTACGTAACGCCGTTGTCACACGGCGTTGCCATCGCGGCCGACGAGGTCGGCGTACCCCAGGCTACCATTGGATCCCCGCCATGTAGTCGCAGGGATGTTGGTACTGCCTCTGCCACGCCAATTCTGGAACGAGTCGACGCGGTTCGACACGACGCACGTTGTTCCTTCTCGCTTCGTTCCCTGGCGCGGAATTCGCCTCCGTCTCTTTCCCTCGTCTCTCTCTTTCTCGCATCCGCTCCCTCACTCCCGCTTTTCCATCCTTATCCCCTCTCGACGCAGAGCGCGCGCGCGTCTCTCCCTCTCCCTCGACGCCTTGTCAGTCGCATTTCCCTTCTCTCGCTTCCGCATTCGCCTTTCTCGTACCGTTGCGCCGGTATCTCTGTCGTTTCGCGGCCGCGTCGCGCACCCCATCCCTTCCCCGTGCTCTCGACGCCGGCGTCCCTCCCCCGCCGGCGGCCGGCGCACGAGCGTCCCCCTCGCGCATAACCCCTCGACCAAGAGAGCGATCCGTAACAACTAAAGTTCTCGTGAAAAGTTGAGCCGGGCGCTCTCCTACGCCCTCCTGCTATAATAGCCGCTCTCGCGCTGGTCTCTCTACCGACCGTCGTCGTCGTCTCTCGTCTCTGTTCATCTGTCCCACATTCCGTGAGACGGAGAAGGAGAGGGACGGACGTGAGCGAATAAAGGGAGGGAACGGGAGAGGCAGGGAGAAGGAGCGAGAGAGAGAAGAGGGAAGAAAGGGCAAGCGCGAGAGGACGAGACAGAGAGGGAGAAAGAGAGAGGAACCGCGCCGTGGACGACTCCGACGGATTAGGGAATAGAATAGTCATTATCGTGTATACATCCGTATTCTACGAGCTATCGGTCGCGCTCGTTCGGAGAGTCGGTCGTCGGTGGTGTGGCGAGACGCCGTGCCCGCGGGTTTGGCGCCGGTTTCAGTGGTGTGCGAGTGCGGTACCGAGAGATCGAACGACCTAGCCCGTCTCTTTTCTGACATTGGAGCGCGCCGGCAGAGAGTATTACGCGTCGGGCCACGGTGTGTGTTGGAGTGCGAGTTCGGGGGCTTCGCCTGGATTAATCGGGCTCAAGACGAGGAATATCGACGCGGGAGCAGCGGCGCCGGCAATTACGAGCGGTGCTCGTGGGTGAGTACAACATCCTCTCCTCCCGCTGTTTCCCGGAGAGACCGGAACGCGCCGTTGTATCGTGCATTCTCCGCATTCTCGGCGATTGTCGCAGTCACCGAGAAGCGATGGGTTCCTTCATCCGGCTGATCGAGGAAACCGAGTCCGAGTTCATCTCGGATCTGTCGTTTCTTGAATTTACGAGCTTACCTCATCGTACTCTTATGTCAAGTTCGTTATCACGTATGTCGCGATGCTCCTTGTACCTTTGTTATTCCGTCGTCTGTCACGTCGTGATCGTATGACCTACATTCCCCACGTGTATCATAGATGTGCGCGAAGATTATTTACTTATTCGCACTACTTGACGCTCCGATTGTTCGGCGTTAATCAATAAGATCGCATCTTATAGTTGGGTGATTAAGAAATTGACCCAAATCCGTCGAATTTTGATAAGCATTTAGTAAGATACGATAACATTATTTTTTAGTTTGTCATTGGCCTTCTTTCACAAGTAATCTAGATATTAAAGTTAAGCTTGGACCTTCAAATCTATTATAATTTATATTTGATACCTATTTCTTTACATAATTTCTTTACATCTTTTGTTAAAAAATTTCTGTACTTGTGTATTACAATCTATAGACGAAAGCAGCATTGTAATGATGTTATCGAATATATATACATATATATATCTATAAATTAATCATCACATCGTAAGTTTCTACCCAGATAACGATCGAATATATCGCTTATCACTGCTGATGTAGCTCCATCGCGAATCACCGACATTTCTATCGATCGAACGACTCGTTTCGTAACAACCGCGAGGTTTCCTCTACATTTTTAACAATAGTTGAAAATTAATAAAATTATTATTATTATCAATCTACAAGAGTATTACGATAATCGAGTTTTGCCTACGTAAAGATCAATGATGCGATAATATAATATATCAATGATACGATAATATTTTACTCGAGATAAAGATGGTCGAAAAGATCTCGTGTCGAGTATGTACAAGATATATTTACGAGGCGATAAATTCACATGAGAATGATTTACGATAATAATTGACATTTATATTTTTCCCGTTCAAAGTACTATCTTAATAAATACTCATCATTAATAATCACTCTCGACTATCCCGGGCTTTCTCGCGCAACCAAATTCGACCACGTACGCCATGGTTTTTATGATTTCTGCGGATTGCGGATATCCTCTGCGATTACTTCCCGCGGTAAACGAAAAAAAAAAGAGACAGAGAGAATCCCGACCGAGCGAATCAACCGAATTCGGGCGCTGCGGTGCGCGAATACCTCGAAAACGCCGACATTTAATCGGCGAGGCGTACATGGAAGCTTTCATCCGGCCAAAGAGAGAATGTATAAATTCGCGGACGAACTTGTTTCGAAATAACCGTGCGAAATTCCGCACAGCGAGGGGAATTTTGCGAGTGAGGCGGGGAAAAAGCGTGCACGGACCCACGAAATACGCGACGTTAACATTTACGCGCGAAAAGAAATATACCGTATTCGCCCCGGGAGGGGCTATTAATTGAACCCACATCCAGGATTATTAGCTAATGTAAAATGCGCGAAAAAGAGATACAGCCGTTAAAAGAGAATTTCACCCTCTCACATTTCGCCACCAATTAATAATTCCGCATCAATCACAATGCTGCATTTTCATTTTATGAAAAAAAAAAAAAAAACAGAAATTAATATCTGTTGTTTCGAGAACAGCCAAGCCGATAAAAATTCCGTGCTTTTTCCAGATAGTGCAAACAAGACGCATCATCGACGCAGAGATTGAAATTCGCGCATTCTCTCATCTCTCTACGAGAAAATTTGTTCCGCTCTTCTACATATACATAAACAATTGAATCGGTAAATCCGATTTTATCAGCTTATCTCGCTAGAATGATCACACGCACCTGTGTGACGTCGATTACTTTTTAAAAATAAACATATTCTACGGGCTCGCATTTGCCTTACTTTCAACATTACATATCATCGATTGTTATCCGTAACGCATCGTATACGCGACTAGATTTGTGAGTGACTTGTCAATTTTAATTAAGATTATAATAACAAAGTGGAAGAATATTTTGACATTTTCCGTATCAACATACGCGTCTCGTAGAGGAGCAATTTCGAAGCAGCTGTCGCGCTGATTTTCCGAAGCTACGGAAGCGATGGGGCTCGTCAAGATCTATTTTACGTTGTAAGATGCCGCTTGATCCTTCAATAATCTTATCTACGACGTCCGACGGCTGCTGTCAGAGCAGATCTCGTAGGGAGCTGCGCCGAGCTTCGACTATTTCCGTTCGCGCTTGCAATTTCGCGGGAAGTTTCGGTCCCGAAACGGGCTACCAGCATAGTAGCAGCGTGCCGAGAGAGTTGGCCAGCGGGATTTCCACGGAAATAATCTGCTTACGGTAATCTTCTTGGCTTGCCGTCGCCGCCTCCCTCCCGCTTAAGGTCCGCCTTCCACGAGGAGGTCCTTCGTCTCCTTATCGTCGTCGTCGTCGTCGTCGTCGTCTACACACGCTGGCGCGTCCTCCGGCAACGCAAGACGCTATCCTAGTCGCTTGCTGATCTTCGAATCTAATGGGAATTTTATCGCGAGCGCGTCCGATCGACCTCGAGACGAGACCCAACGCGTGTTTTTCAGTGGAGAACAAAGAGTGGTGATTCTATGGCGATTTTCGCATCGCGAAAGACTTTCGTGACCACGTTGTTGAGAAAAATGTGACGCGATATGATAGCGATTGCCATCGGAACATTAAAATACAAATAATCGATGAGATCGAAAGGGAATTTGATTAAAGACGTTTTCATCTCCACGTCGATATAATAAGTCTGATTATTAAAATAATGAGAATTTTATGCGGAGAAGTATGAGAATATTGCAAGAACGATCGAATCATCATGAAGAAAGAATCTGCTGCCTTTTCTTTACATTATAGTTTATAAAAAGATGATTTATCGTCTGCAAATGCAATATTACTTATCCCTTTGGATAAGCGGCTGTCTAGAAGTTTGAAAACGCGGCGCTGATTGTCGGATGGAGCAAAAGGATCTCGATCATTATGAATATGAAGATTTATACATTATACGTATCGAATCGAGACGAAGCGAATGTGAAGATTTCGTGATAAATATAAACGACATCCGTGCGCATCAAGAAGGACGTGGCGAATTGAAACGAGTGCATCGCAAATGATGAATTATTTCGAGTAAAGTTAATTCTATATAAGATTGGCGAAAAAATTTTTGAATAATTGGCAAAGTCGATAATTTATTCGCGGCTTTCCGAGGAAGATTCTTCCAAAAAATTACAAAGAATATATAATAAAATTGGATTTATATTATCTTACGCGTCTTATGCTTTACAATTAAAGATATAACTTTGAAAAGTAACAAAATCCCGAGTCTAAATCCCGATTCGCGTATGCTTTTCGATTATACGATCGGTTCGATGCTGAAAAATGTGCCGAAGCCGAACAACATAGTTGACTAGTGTTTCGAGGGCTTCCACGATGGATAGTCTGCGTGCAAAGTTTATCTTTTACGTTAACAAATAATTTTTTCTTTTCACGCGATAAAATCTACCGTCGTGAAAATATCATTGCAATCGAGTGAGAGAGAATTTTCTTACAAAAATGTCACGTGTTTATTTTAATTTTGTAAATTTAGAGATTTATATATATATATATATATAATTTATAATTAAAATTCGTATAAACTGACGTAAACCGTAATATCGGCTATTATATCGATTATACGAAAGACCCCGCCCTTTTAAACGAAGATTTTGAAGACGTCGATAGTCCTCGTTCTTGATTCGCTGCCACGGATTCAATCTCGGCTCCGGCATCTTCGAGTATCGAGTCTCTCGGAATCCCTGGTCGATGTTATCACGTGCGAACGGGTCCCAATGTCGCGCCGTACCTTCGACGGGAGGATTGACGTGGCCACCATAGAACCGTGAACGGCTCGAGGGAACAAAACCTCCTCGAAATTGGCTCCGAGGAATCAGTAAGTTCCACCGTCCGTCAGGGCGGAACATAAAGGAGCATGAAGCGGAATGGAGGCAGGTGGAGAGACGAGGGGGGGAGGAGGGAGACGACGAAACGAAGGAGGCTCATCCCCGTCGGGCGGCGGGGCGCAACCCCCATTGGCATCTCCTTTTTTGCCGGCCGGGTATAAAGACTAACTAGCGGAGAACAAGCCCGGGGCGGAGGTATACCCCGTGTATACCTCGTGGAATTTCTACGGGAATTAAGTTTTACGCTCAATGAACGCGCAACAAACGCCCGAATACCCGGGGCTAATATTGCATTCAATGCGACTCTGCTCCGTAGAAACGCTTCCTCGTGCACGACTCCGTGCGCATGGCTACGCTGGTGCACGCGGCTCCTTGACAGAGGTATCCGACTACACAATCTCGGGCTACATAAAGTGTGTGTATGTGTATACATGACTACGTTTGCGTATATATATGTGTATGTGTGCGACTCCGCGACATAAAGCCGCCTTTCTGTGAAAAAGTTCAAGCTTAATGCCGGGGTAATTATTTCGCGAGATGCTGCACCCGACGTGGACCGAACTCGACGCAGCTGCGAGTGCCCGGTGTCGTTAGCATTAGGTAATTAATTATGACTTTATTATCCAATAATGAGGGAAAGTTTCTCGTGTCCTTTGCGTATTGTGCGAACACCAGGTATTATAAATATTTCCGCTAGGGCAAGTCGTAATCATCTATTAATATATGCATAATCTGCTGTTATGGTATCTCGCGCATAAAAAAAAATTTATTTCAAGTTACGCTATCGCTAATCGAGAATATTAAGTCGTAAGGAGGGGAGGCTTGTACTTGACGCGTAAAGATTATTGCAAAATTATCGCGATGGAGGTACATATGCGCGTTTGAATGACTACGTATTCGAGCGTTGGCACAATCTCGAAAAATCGTCCGTAACATCAGTTAATGCCTCGCTCGTTTCACAAGTACCTTCTGGCTTTCCTCGCGATACTCGCGGATGGCTGCGCTTCACGCAACCGACGTACGTGTACGTTCATTGTGGAGCTACGGAGCGGGCTCTTCAGGAACAATGCGGTTGTGTGCAAATACTCCTGGAAACAATGCGGCCGCGACTTAACTTTCTGGGATAGCTCCGGCAGTGTGTCGTTCTTCGTGTACTGCCGGATGTACCGAAGCCGCAAACCGCGCTACCTAATGCAGAAACGACGTTGCATCCCCCGCGAATGAATCCCGGATGCTCCGACTCGTTTTCGACGTATGCGACTGCATCCGCGTGCGACTTTCTCTGTCTTTCTTCACCTTCTAATTTCCCCGCCAATTGTTACTGCGTAAATTCGAAAACGCGAATCGCGCTAACAAGCTCCAACTCGAGATTTTAATGAAACGGAACAACGAAGGTATCATTTATTTACGTTTATAAATGTAAAAGAAATTCTAATCATAAAAAAATAACAGATCGCGACGTATATTGATAGAAAGAATCGGAAACAGTTTCCTCTGATTATAAAAAAAAATAATTTCATTCGTGCAGAATTAATACATGGAGGGTGTTGACAGAATCTGAAGCAATTTTCGGATTTGTAGGAATTCACCGGATTTAAGATGCAACAGCAAAACGCGTATCCGCCGCACGTGCGCTCCATTGACTTAACTGATCCGTACAGATACGATCTGCTGGACGTTCGTAAATCGAATTCTTCGGCGACGAGAGGGTAAATCTCCATATCTCTATCCCTATCTCTTTCTCTCTCTCTCTCTCTCGTGCAGAACACACGCGGAACGTAATAATGGGGATTTAACAGTCATTAGGGACGGCATACCGGTATATATCTGTCGATTGGTAACGCAAAGTGTTTGCACTAGGGCCGAACTATCGAAGGGGGCGAGGGTGGGAGTGACTCGTTGCAGCGGGAGATCGATTCGTCGGGAAAGGGCGTCGGGGGAATGCGCGGGGGTGTAAAAGGCACCCTAGCTATCTTTCTCTAGACCGTTTCTCCCGGCCTCTCCACAGAGTCGTAGACTACTCGAGTGTCCTCGAGGACCAATCGAGTGGCGGCCTGGGCATTTTGTCCACACTTGGCGGTCTGTAACAAGTGCATTGTCCCGTGCACCAAAGTGCACAAAGATAAAGAGACTTCTGGCTACCGTAACACAAGGACCATCAAGTATCCCTTCTCGCCCTCTTCTTTACATTTTGTTTCTTTCCCCGTCTTTCTCTCGTGACGCGCTTTTAATAAGGGTTAAAAAGTGTAAATAAACGTGTCGTTTCGTGTCGGCAGTATTTTACATCATTTACGTCAAATTCCTTTTCGACAAGTTAATTGGAATTTTCGAATTAATATGATTATACTGAATAATTTAATAATAGAAAATAAAAATATATTTAAACTTTTTGTGTGATTGCGTGTAGCGGCAAAATTTATCAACAATTCGACGATGTTGACGAGAGATACATCTGCATTGCGTTGAAATAAAAAGAAACAGTTCAGTCGTGCGGTCGTCGTTAAAAAGTTTTCAAAAGTGACAGTTGTTTTCGGCGTTTTTTGCCCATGCTGGGTGGCATGTAACAAGTGCTTTGTGGCCGGTGCGAGCCGCGTAAGTGCACAAAAGTGGAAATTCGCGCCTGATTGATCTCAGGAGGACCCGGGAGAATAGCCAGCCTTTCTTCGCCCTCTCTTTCATAGCGAGCGAAATTTTAATATAGTTGGGAGACGAAAGGGGCGTCACGCGGGGTAGTGTATACTTTATGGATTCTTTTTCACCGCGTGGCAACTTTATTCCGGTTCCGGAGAGCGGAGAAAATTTGCGCGCGGGCGTAATGAGACGTAGTATTAGAGCGCAATACACAGTATAAGCTCGCCTTTTACATCTACGATATTAAGTACACGTAATTTCATCGAGCGATCTCATTTATGAAGCTCTACATATTCCGGAAATAGAAGCGTTATTTTATCGAAATATATGAAATTTTATTCATATTAAAACGCGCGGAAAGTAAATAATTTTAATCTCCTGTAAAATTTTTTAACGTTTTAATTTGCGACATTAAAATATTTTTTAGTAAACTCGTGACATTTATAAATAAGCGTGAATATATTTATATCATCAGCGTATATCGATTCGATATGTCATAAAGCCACTTATTGTACATATTACGTGCTCGGTATTTAAATTGTAGCGCATAACAGATTTCAATATACAGTAGGATAAATTTCAATTGCGAACGCAACAGGATGCAATGCACATACGTTATGAGGGTGGATGTGAGTGTCTCGTCCATATTTGAGCAAAAAGACTCACGCTGCGGCAGCTCTATTAGACCTCTAGAGGAGTCTTTCATATATGACGTGTTCTATTCATTGAAATTTAATAATATAACGCGGTTGAGAGAGAGGACACGGAACAATACATTATTAAAGACGGACTTGGTAAAATGTTGATAGTGTAAGATTTCATTTCGAAAGCACAACTCGAATCAATCGTCCTTTCTTTGTCAGATATACGAGTATCATATATAAAATTTTTTACACGGATATAAGAGACCGTAATTAAAATATTAAAAATTCTAACTTTAATTTATCTCGGTTTAATTTAAATCGTCTATGGATCATGTCATACGTTATATGTATAAAAATTAACTCTATAAAGATTGAATTTAATTTGTGTCGACAATAATTTTTATTACATTATAGACACGAATAATGTATCCATTAGATTTGACGCTATAAAAAAATAAAGAATTTTGAATCAGCCATGTCCTATATTTTACATTCAATAAAAATGATTAACTTGGAGACACACTCACATTATGACGATTCTGTCGTCATTCAATTATTTCTTATAATGCGGATGTTAATTACTTACCGATTAGCATCCCTTAATCCGAGACATGTGAACGGCGACATCCGGCAGGCAGGAAACAATACACGTTTCATTGTCCGGCCATATCGCAGATGTGCGTGCACGACGTAGAACGCAGTTGTAATAAACGTGATGGCAAACAAATTAACAAGTCACTACCACCGGGGAAGCTGGATTGCCCGTGGTATAAGAAGCAGAGAAAAGGGAGAGAGCGATAGCCGTTTCTGACTTTGTAATCGGAGAGGATAAAACGCGCGACTTAAGCGGCTAAGAACGCGACGGAAAGGCTACGAGCGTGTTGCATGTCTTCAGGGTCAAATATGCGTTCGCTGTTCTCGGTTTTCGGGCCGACGTTTTCGGAGTTAGATTGGCCTCCTTGAGAAGGAAGACCGAGGATACCCGGAGTCCTGTTGCAGCTTTCTCGGATTATCCCCCGCGCGCAGCTGCCGATCGCGTCGTTCTTATTTTCATGCCGGGCGATCACGATCGATTGGTATTTGTTTAAAACACCGACTACTTTCTCTTTGATGATCAGATCGAAACGATCTACTCGAAAACAGCGGAAACAAACAAGGAATTTGGTCAATTTTAAAGAGACTTCAAAGATGCACGATGTTCAAAGTTGAATTCTTGTCTGCTTTTTTCTGTAACAAAAAAAATAACGAAATTACTGAAGACTTTGTCATTTTTCGCAAAAACTATCTTTTAATAAAAATATGATTATGAACACATATGTGAAGAAATCTTACAAATTGATATTTTTCATAAATTGATTTGAATTTTATTATTTCATGTTTGTGATGTGACAGGCCAAGCCAATCACATGTGTGTGAAATGAACATATTTTTCTTTGAATAAAATAAATCGTCAATTTAGCCGATTTTTCATATAATTTCGAACATTGATTCAATTTTTTTCCGTCGTCTTTTTTAGGCAGAGCATATAACTTGGACGTCGAGGACGTTTCTTTAGGGAGACCGCGGCGGAGGGGTGGTCGTGCTGGGGGCCGAGGGGGTGGTGATGTGGCCGAACAGCCTCGGAGGTACTTCCGGCTGCAGCGGGGGCGCCGGCGCCACCGATCTCGGGGGCCTCGCCGCCTCCACCACCTCGGCCTCCGAGCTCTTCGGGCCCGCGGCGTTCGGCGCGACCGCCGCGGGGCCCTACGGCGCCCTTAAGACGGCACCCTACATGAGCGCGCTTAGCATGCCGTCAATAGATGCTTTACACTCCACCATCGGCTATCCCGGTTGTACACCCGCCGGTGAGTCCTACTACTGTGAGTGCCCATCATATTGTTTTATTAGTTCTAGTACTGAATCAAATCGGAAATAGCTTTTTGTTTATGAGTTGCAAGTTACAAGTTTATCTTTGTATTGTAAAGATGAAGAAAATATGAAATATTAGATTGTGACTAGGCTCATCGATCTTTATGTAGAGTGATGCTAAAAACGCGAGAAAATTATTATGATAAATATTGCAATATTGCAATTGGAGAACAGTTGAAAAACACAAGTGTTAGTAAATAGAATGATTAATAAGTAATAATATTAAATTGAAAAACACAAGTGTTAGTAAATAGAATGATTAATAAGTAATAATATTAAATTATTCATATGCCATTCATGTTAATATAAAAGCTTTTGAATTTTGCATCAAAGTTATTTCCGACTCGTGAAAATATTATTACTGTTATTAAGTTGTTAATAATTAGTTGTTAGTTAACTATTAATAATAGATTTATATATATTTTATTTATTATATTAATCATTACTGGTTAGTTAAATGTAGTTGACCTATAACATTATACACATTATATATCATATTTGATATTCATTTATTATAAAAATTGCCGATAATATATACAAATTTAAATTATAAGTTAGATATTTAAAAGAGATATCTTTTTCAGATATCTTTTTTAGATTCCAATCATTAGCTCAAATGATTTGTTTCTGAATAAAAAGTGATTTAAATTTTTACCTTTTAAATTTTTTTTAGATAGTAAATTGTATAACATTGATTTAATAATTTCATGCATATCTTGGAAAAAAACAATATAAATATAAATGGAAAAAATTTATATGATATCCTGTTGTATTAAAAATTCTGTTTTAAAGGCAATCCGAGAAAGCAACGACGGGAAAGAACAACGTTCACACGAGCACAATTGGACGTATTAGAGGGACTTTTTTCAAAGACGAAGTATCCTGACATTTTCATGCGTGAGGAAGTAGCGATGAAAATCAATTTACCAGAATCGAGAGTGCAGGTAAGAAGAAATTACTAATGTTAATAGCAATTTTTGATTATGCTTTAAGTATCTTCGATTATGTAGCCAGCAGCCAGTTTCAAAAGAAATCATAAGATTATTCAATATCTCTTTGATTTTTAGTATAATAAATTAGTAGATTAAATTATAATACAGAATACTATTATAATACTATTATAATACAGAAAATAACTTTGAATATAAGTGAAAAGTATTTCTGCACTGCAGTAAAAAAATGCGACATGTCTATGAAGGGTGCGAGAGTGTCTGATTACCAAGGGTTATACACTGTCGGCACGTTGACAGTATGGACAGGATCGATTGATTCTCTTCTACCTGTGTGTCTTTTGCGTTAGAGTTAATTAAATTACGCGTTCGTCTTGCAAATATACACCTACAAGAATTCTTCGAATCTGCTATTAACACTCTCTTATAATGACGATAAAATTAAAAATAGCGATTTCATTTAATAGATTAAATCTATATTTCTGCAATCTTTTTATTTGGAGATAAACTACTAGTCTGCATGAGATTTACTATAATTAAAAAAATCATGATTTAATACAGTTTAATACAGTTTAATTGTAAATATAATATCTCATTTTAATAATGAACGAAGATTATTAGATATTATTCGATAGCTAAATTAGTATAAAATTATAGTAACAGAAGAAAAGAGCGAATAAAAGTCGAGCACAATATTATGAAATATGCAATTATTAACATAAATAAATGGCATAAAGAAGATTCAAAAACATAAAACCGAACGCAGAGAATCAAACGTCTATTATATCTATTTCAAATCCTCTGTAATGGTATAGAAAAGAAAAAAATTCGCTCGCTCTCTACTAGTCACATAAAATCGCAAGCGTTGCTCCATTGACATTTTTGCTCAATAGCACGCGGTCAAAAGAATTTTTTTGTGCAACAATACCCCGCGGAAACATGAATAATGTCAATTTTGGAATCGATATGTCGATGTTGGTCGACTGACACCGTGCCTTCTGGCTGTACCAACGTCGACGTCCACAAGGTCCGAGAACGTGTTCACGCATATCCCACCCTCATCACGGCCAAAAAGGGCGCTTCGCATCCGCAATTGCCGTCCACACCTGGCTATGACCGTGTAAACGGGATGAATGGGCCCGACATGGCCCATAGTCTTGCGCACGTTCGTCGGACGACTGCAAAACTAGAGACTGCTCTACTCACGATCGCTGTTTTCGGACCCTTGCATGACTTTTCAACCGCGGGCGTCTCCGTGTCCATTGTAGCTTCACCAAAGCTGGTTTTCTCACGGGTCAATACGATAATATCGTTTCACGCAATGTGATCGTATATTTTAATCAATTTTTTTTTAAAAGAAATTATATATTTAATATAATACATGGAGAGCATATTGCTATATCAAAAATTATTTAATATTATAAGATTTATTAATTAATAAATATATGATTAATGAGTTAAAAGGTGATAAAAATATATTGCAACAGAAAAGATGAATCGAGTCTAGTGCCTAAAAATATCAAACGTAGAGAAAAAATCTTTTATTTATAACAATTTCGCGAGAAAATAAAGAAAAATTGAAACCTTGTAAATATATGTTATTATAGAGGGTTTTATTTTATTAAGCGTTGAATTATCTATTGATATTTCGTCAATATTTCTCGATACCAATCTGGAACATAATCCAGTCGTGGTAAAAATACTTTTGCGACGTTTCTTGAAAGCGAAAAATTCACGTTACATACACTGGACTCTTTCGATGGAAGAACGCGAGCTGCTGGTGTCGTCCCCCAGAAAATCCGTAGAAACCCAAGCTCACCTCTCCGCTTCTAACATCGATCGCGAGGCTTCTCCAAGTTTCACTCTCTCTCTTTTTGTCGCATTTCTCTCTCTACCTCTTTCCACTCGCTTCGTCCCTCTCTACGTCCCCATATCTATCGTTTCTATGTATAAGAGAAGTTTCAGAGAACAAACGAGCTATATGAAAGACAACGCGTCACATAAACTATGCATAATTAAATCCAATTCGCAAAATATATTTCCAAATCTTTATCTATAAACATTTTTTTTTTAAACGAAAACATATTTCAACATCTACTGAAATTAGTTATGAAAAATACATTACTGTAATGCTTGCACGAGATCTTGCATGAGATCTGTCAAAGAAAATGATAGAAATTGATAGGACAGTAATCTGCATCATTCGAGCGACAGTGGAGGAAACGCTTTTTAATCTATATAAGCATAATTAGCAACTTCATTACAAGGTGTTCATGCAAAACCAGTGGACACTTTGAACACAAACCGGAGCGAGCCCGTTGGTACGCGAAATCGGCTTATTCTATTCAGAGAAGTTGCTCGGTGTGTGTGTGGGACGACCTATACTCCAATCGGTTTCGTAATTCTGTTGCATTAACGACAGCCTGGTAGCGAGCGCGTCCGATATGCGTGCGCGTTTTCGTTCACGTTGCTGCAGTCAGCTTGATTGGTAATTGATAGTCGTGCCAGTCCAGCATTCCCCTATAATTGGTTATTACGCCAGCTTTACGAGAGTTCTGATTCGTTTCAAATCACATTTACGCATCGCTGAAACGTGAAAATGACGTCCAATTCATTTCGCGACAGATGCGCGACTAGTTATTATTACTTTTTATGATAATATACACAGCTGTGCAGAAGCGTCTCTGATTACGTAAAAACGTAACGCGTAATTCCTATGTCCTGTCTATAGGTGTGGTTCAAGAATAGAAGAGCTAAATGCCGACAGCAACAGAAGCAACAGCAACAACAGCAAGATAAGGCACCGAGATCGAAGAAACCTTCGGGGAGTCCGGCTAGTAATCCACCCCCTGGAAAAAGTCCTTCAATTGCTACCACGCCCACACCTGCCGCCGCGGTACCTGCTACTACGCCCTTGTAAATATCTTTTTCTTTGATCTTAATGAAATATATCTTCTCATGTACCGCGCTCTAATGATTATTAATGATTATTATTTCACATCTACACAGTATGAGATAATCGCCAACACGATTAGCCTGCTTCAATTTAGAAAATTAAAATTAATATTTTAATTGCAATTATACGTTACAGATATTATTGATATAGTTGTTGTCGCGCGAGATATCTTTTCTTATATATAAATATTGAGATAAAGTCCAAGTGTATGAATGTATTATATTAATATATATAAAACAGATGTGACATTGCATTTTTGTTACTCAGGAGCGGAGGCACTGGAGGTTCAGCGGCAAGTTCTCCGGCGCTTTTAAGGGATTCGCCGCAATATAAACCCGCGGGAAATGCTACTAGTTTACTGTTAGCAGCTAGTACTACCCCACCGAGCGTAAGTTGATAAGCTGTAGTGATACTTTTGCTTTTGTTATTCTAAACGCTTTTATGTTATTTTTATGTTTAATATTTACTGAATATTTCTTCTCTTATACACTCGTTGTTCCATTTTTCAACAGTTAGGTGGCACCGTGTACAGCAGTGGCGGTGGTAGCAGTAGTATCTGGAGTCCAGCAGTGACGGAAAGCGGTGGAGGATTTCCGGGTGACCACCAACGGTTAGCGTGGACGACAACCGCTTCCCAGCAGCAATGCTACCAAAATTATTCGTCCTACTATACCAATATGGATTATCTCTCGCCCGCTTCGCATCAGTTAAACGTTGTGGTAGGTATAAAAAGAATCTCTCCATCTTTGTCAGTTTTTTCTGCGCGAATATATATGATTACGTTCATTAAAATGGAGCAAAAAGATGCTTGAAGAATAGCATAATGTAAAAGAATCAATATTGCATCGTTAGGACAGCGGAGGTAGCCTTGACAATTCATGGAGCAAAACGAGAGACGAAGGAACTTCATCTTGGTTTTACAATAGCGCCGGATGGGGCGATCGGAAGTGAACCTACAAGAATCGAGGGGAACAAAATCCGGGTACATATCATCGACAATAGTGAAGGTTACACGGCTCGATGCGAAGCTTATCGTAATGCCAAATAAAACGAGGAAGTTATATTTCTGATGAGTATCGATAGAGATTAAACATATCTTTAATTAGGCCGGCGTTCGAGGAGCTGTGGAATGCACAGGCCAATCGAGAGTGCCATACGTATCCTCCTATATTTACTGGTTCACAGCATAGTTTAAAAGGTATCCTATCATTTGGAATATTTTCTATGCAACGAGAAAATTTGCAGAAAATATTTCACAAAAAAATTGTTTTGTTTCTCACGAAGAGCACCGTAGAATAAAAATATTATTTGCATATAAGATTAAGAGATATACAGAACATTCCACATTTTCCTTCTGTACCGTGCAATTTTTATTAGATCAAATTTATTTTAATATGCATTATTTAAAAATGGATCAAGTGATAAAACTAAATAAGACATTCTGTATTTATGATATAATCGTTTCTTTGTATATCGTAGATTATGCTTGCAATTATAAAATATGAAATATTTTGAAATATTTTGGATGATACAAAATTTCTGAAACATGTTGCACTGTGCAAAATAGTTTTAATTACCACATAAAAATCTGATTTATTTGAATTTTAATTCATTTTCACTTTGGAGAAATTATATTAAATGATACTAAATAATACATTTATCTATTATAAGAAATTTTCAAAGTTCTGAAATCAATGAAAATTGCGATTTCTTAGAGGAATGTTTTGTATTTTAATAGTTGCTTCAAAATTTGTTGATAGTGCAAATTAATTATTAGATTGATACAACAGATTTGTCATATTTTTCAAATAAAGATGACAAAATTATATAGAAAACAAAATTATAGTTGATTTCCTCGCGACATATAGTTTATGGATATAATTTCAATTTTTAATCAAAATGGAAACATATACTGTTGGCATACAGATTTTTTAGAAAAAAATTTTCTTAAAATACAATCAAGTAAAATAGACTATACATTTTATCTAAAAACATTGTCATTTTTATTTATCTATCAAACATTAATATAACTATATCTAAAATAAAATTTATATATATTTATAAAAATGACAAATCTTTTGTATTAATCTTATAATATCCACTAGTCACATTAATAAAATAAATATGACTTAAAAAGAGATAGACGGATTTATTATAAAGAATAATTGGAATTGTGATTATGCTCTTTTTTGCATAGCTCACTGTTTTACATTTTCATATCTCATTAAAAATGATTTTAATAATTCAAATAATTTCTTTATAAAAAAGCGCATAATTCTTATATAGAAGAAGAATGATCATTTTATAATATGCTATAATGATTCCATGTGATCTCCAGAGGACAGATAATTATACTGTACATAATATAAATACATTTACAATATTCAAGGAAGATAATTTACGTGACTAATGTACGAGATACATTTGATTGATTTAATTTTTCGATTAAAATAATATACAACGCAAAAACTTTTAAAAAAAGGTATGTACGTACGTATACACGCGATACATTACCATGTATATAAATTATATACAAAGCATATAGTGCAGATCTATATATGTACATATGTATCATTCTGTCGTGTATAAAAATACACTATCTGAATATTGAAATGAATTTATGTTACGGCGTCGAAATTGTTGATCATTTTCTTTTTTCAAATGCTTATTTTGCATGTGTAAAATTAAAAAAATTATATTTTATCTCTTTTATGTATAAATTAAACAAATTTTCCACATACACCGTCCCGTTGTCAGAAAATACGCGTTGAATATTATCTGTCATATGATATTATCTATACAGGAAGGATAATATAAAATATATATTTTATTTTAAGTTATTATTAATTTTTCAATTTTCAAGGTAAATTTTCTCTGAGAGTCAAAGCTTCATATAGACAAATTTTATTTTACACAGTCGAATCCTCTTTATACAAGAAATTAATCGCAATTGTATTATGTACCTCGCCATATTATATATTTGTTATTTCTGACAATCAATATTATAATATGATATTTTTCAAGACTAGTACTTGTGAATGTATGTATATATTATTCTTTTTATTTTTTATTACTTATTCTTTTCTTAAATATATTAGCAGCAATTATACATGATTATTATCATATATTTGCGTTGTAATTATCGAAATCAGTGGATTAAAGAGAGTCTGTTAAATCTGTGAACTGTATACAATTCGTTCTTATTAAAATGTAAAAAAATGCAATTTATTGTATATTGTTTTCGGAAAACTTTGCACTTTTTGTACAAGTATTTAAACGTTTTGAAAAAAATCTTTAACGATGGAGCTTTATAAAAAACTAACCTAAATACCGATTGTTCTTTACACAGCGTCGATTGATTATAGAATAGAAAAAAATAAAGAATCCATATGTAAAGTAAAAAGAATTATTTAAGATCTATAGGAATATAAGAGTATGTGACTGTTTAGATTGTTATTATAAATATTATCAATAATTATATAATATGATCGACGAGAAAAACAACGACGTACATGTCTCAAGATGTATAAAGATAATATATCGAATTTGAATTGTATATAGATATTTCTCATTTTTCTTTATCCACACATTCTCAATTTTCAGCTTAAGATATTTCCCCCATTTTCCTTTTCATAAAAAATGCGCTTATTTTAAAGAGATTTATTAGACAAATAAATCTCTTTAAAAAGATAATATAATTGGGATCTTGATTGAGATCTATCTGAATTTTTACGTTACGAAAAGATGATATAGAATTTAACGGTATAAATGTAACGTACATAAAATAGTAAAGTGTACAAAAATTTATATAATTTGACTTAGATTTATATCGGCAATTCATAAATAGATACCTGTACTTCTGCTGTATATGTCCTGTTGCCATATGCACGCGTGTTTTGACCAAATAATCCTTGTTTTAGCTGTATATTCACGAAAGAAAAAAATAAGACGCCATAGCCCGCTTTTAGATGATCACTGAAAGCCCTCTGTAGACATAAAAATATGAACATGAACTACGAAGCCAAAGTCCACGAACGTTTTCAATAGGTAACACGTAACATGAACAATTTCTGGTTCTGTTCCATGCTATGTCCATGAAATGTCGGTAACGCGAGTGTTGTAACGCTAGACGCTTATATAAATAATATAAATAATATAAGTAAATAAATGTATAAGTAAATAAATAAATATAAGTAAATAAAATAATAATAAAGTAATAAATATAAATAAATAAAAATTTCTAAAAAATAATATCTAATATACATATATATTTTTCCAATATAAATAAATAAATAAATTTCTAATATAAATCAGTTTTGATGTCTCTCTCTCTTTCTTTATTATTAATTCTATTATTACCTGATATTATTAATCACACATCGTTCACCATCACCACCATCACCTTCACTGCTAATGCCATTTATTGCAATATAATGACAAACATTTTTTAAATAATAAATTTGACACATATGTGATCACCATCGCCAACGCCATATGTGTATGTATATATATATATATATATATATATATATATATATATATATGTATAGTATATAAATCGTAATATGTCAAATATTTCGGTAACGAAGTTTCAATAATATATGGTTTGGTGTTCGGCTTTGGCAAGTCGAATGTAAACAAGCGCTAACGCGCTATTGTTTACGACCTTGTATCACGACTATATCATTCGTACGGCGACATTCGAGTAAAGCAGTAGTGCGAAATGCTACTTCTGAATTATATTGTTAAATTCTTTTTCGAAACGCGATCGCGACTAATATCGAAACATAATTAGCTATGATATTGTTACAATTAACGATTAAACTTTTAAATTTAATTTAAACGTTTGATAAACGAATACCAAATTCTCGAACCGTATATTTCGCGTAATTTATTTTTATTTAACCTCAAGTAGGAATCGTAATAATAGAAATCTAAAATAATAAATTATCGTTTCAATATAAAATTGATTTTTATGAGCAAAAATTATTTTTTTAATGATATTTAGAGCCAAAAATAAATTATTCGTGACTCTTTATCTATTTTTCGATTATTTAAATGTAATTCAGATTGAGATCGTGCAGTAAAACGATCGAATCGTAAATATAAATATATATTTAACATAATGAAAATTTTTCAATAAATTTTTCAATAAATAATCATATAATTAATCTATATCATTTAATATTAATATTTAAATTTAAATTTCTATACTTTAAAATATTTCGCGTATATATTTGTCAAAGTACGTAAACTATTTCGACTAGAGAGAGAGAGAGAGAGACAATAACAGTGTTTGGCCTTGATGGCGTACACAAGCGCGCTAATGTTTACATTCCATGTTCTTGGTATCATTCACACGGCGACACTCGAGCAAAATAATGGTGCGAAACGATACTTCGTATATTATCGAATTTATTATTAATTGAACGATTATCATTTTCAATTAGATTAATCTTTCGATCTTATAATTCGTGTTAATATAATATTAATAAAACGGAGCATTTGTAATAATGAGTAGTGCATGAATTTGAAACTTCATATAAATATCGAACGAAAATAATACTTCTTTTGTCTTTTGTTTCTTACGATATGTTAAAAAGTGCGTTTCTCATGTATTATTTCGCGATCGGGAGTGTCATGCAAAGTGTCTCGCGATCGTTCCATATATAATTAATTATTATTATTCGTATTTTCGGAAGTGAATGTGAGTGTTACGAAGAAATAGCAAAGGATGAAAAAGAGAGAAAAGGGAGAAAAGCATTGAACAACACATATGGAGCAACGAAATAAAACGTAAGTCATTTATAAATTATTTTTCATTCATGTTACTTTTAAACATATTGCCTGTTCCTTTTTCACCTTTTCGAATTTATTCTCAATTATCATCTAATATATAACGCATATATATACAGCATGGACCAATAACTCTGTCCACCTGGAATATATAAATAATATAATAAAATATTTTTCATGTTAATTGATATTTCAAGATAGTTCAATATTTTATAAAATATTTTACAATAATGTAATTATTATATACTTTATATATAAGAATTAGGTATTTTTAAATAGACTGAATTTTTATTAAAAGTTTATATTCAAGATAATGCTTGATAATTATAATTTATAATATTAAATGTCTGTTTAAAAGGCAAAAAATTGATTGCGCGTAATAATTAATTTTACAATCAATTAATTTAGATTTACTTAATTTTATTAGAAAATAGCTTTATAAAAATATTAAAATTGAATGTATTTGCATTTAATTTGTGTTTATCCTTTGCGTAACGATTAATATTGGCGTCAGATGTTCGATATATCGGTAATATCCCGAATTTTTCCTGACTTAAATAATCCGCGCGGACTGCTGAGCTAAATACTCCACGCGGACTCGATCGATAGCCAATAATCATAGTTCCTCGATCCTCAAAACCAATAGAAAATTCGGATTTTGTCACTCGCGAAGTATCTCGCGTCTTATTCGCTGTCTTCTCGCATCCTTGTCGCACGCTCGTTGCATCCTTTTCTCTAATTGCTTTTAAAGGGCAAGCTCGAGCGAGCCTCGACTCGGCTTTATCTATTGTAACTTGATACGCAGATAAAAACTAAACCAAAATAATACCGATTTTCGTGTCCACTTGTCATCACTTTCTTATCGCGTACAAGATTTATGTCTTAATTTAGTTACTCACACAAATTTATTTCATATATTTCAGTTACTTACACACTCGTTTATAACCGTGTAGTTTTGAGCATTTTCTCTTTAAACTCGATTTATTAAAGATGCATTTTATATATTATTATTCATGTATTACGATTAAAGCAATCAATGTCATTTATATAAATGTTTACATATATATATATATATATATATATATATATTCTTTTGTTTTTCAGCTATAAAATGTTGTAATTAACGTACATTAATTCATTGATAATTTCGATTTGCATTTAGAAAAAAATATATTTAAAACATTTTAACTATATCTTTTAAAAAATTATTGGCAGATTTTAAAAACACATTTATTGTTCTACATAAATAATTCGCAAAAAATTTTATAAAAAGACACAATGCTTACTTAAATGAGAGATACGTTATATTATATTTTTAATCAATAAAAATTTTCGTTGATTCAGTTTAAGATAGTATGTTTTATATATAGTATGTTTTATATATACAATTAGACAGCTTTCTTATTCAGATTGCTTTTACTTTTCGGTCGACATTTCGCATATACGAACAGAAATAAATAATAAGAAATAAGAATAATAAGAAAAAGAATTAAGCAGTTATATATTAATATGAACGCTGTTGCAAATCTAAGAAGCAGCAATTGTGACAATAATTATTATATATAATATGTATAATATAATATTGTATACAATATAATTGTTATATAATTTTCTCATTGTTATTTATTATTATAACATCTCTGTGAATTAGATTCCAATTTTCTTTTATTAAAGAAAATGATCATCGAGTAATCTTTTATTCGATAATATACATATAAGTAGTCATTACAATGAGAAAAAAAATTGTTATTTTAACTAAATGCTTACATACTTATTTCGTACATAACGTAAAAATTGAAAGCGTACTATAATGAATCAGATTACATTATTGAATGATATAATCAATCCCACACGCAAATTATATAAAATTATATATAATATAAATTTCCCTCCGTCTCTTTCATATATATAAATTATATTATATTATAAATTTATATAATACACAACCCCCCACGGGTACACCTTGACGCGGTGGGGTGGCTCAGTACTTGGATGGTGCCTTGAGGTTTATTTTAAATTTTTTTATTTAGGATAAATCTCAAGGAGCTTGAAGGGGAAGCTAAGTATCCAGCATAGCATTGCCACGAGTCGTACAATAGCTCATATGTGGCACATGCATTTGATGCGTTGTACGCATTGTGTCGTCGACTTTCTGTCGTCGGTGCCGTCAACGTGTCGCGGACGGCGGCGTTTCGTTACCACGTTTTCGCGTTTAGCGATAAAAATATCGCTCGTGAGTGCGGGAGTGCCGTAAAGTATCGCGTGTCCAAGACTGAGAGGAGGAGAAGGCCTAGGAGAAGCATCAGGCTCCGGCAGAGCAACCTTCTGGTAAGTAATTTATTTATTTATAATTGTATATTAAATATTAAATATATTTATTATAATTTATATTAAACAATTAATCGCGTAATTTGATTTTTTATTTATGTGATTTAAATAAGAGAGAATTTTGAAGAAAACGATTTTTATAAAATCTATAATCTTATAAAATTAGCTATATATAAGCTTTTAGCTATAAAGTATTAAAGAATTATTAGTAATGTTTTTTTCTAAAATTTGTAGAATTATTTTATTAATCTCCGATTATTATATAAATCGAATATAAAATTCAATACATATAATAACTTTTGAAATATTAATTATTTGGATGTTATTACAATTTAAATCTTCTATTTGTTATAGATCAACCTAAGACAACCCTGATGATCTGAGAGGAGGCGCAGGCCTAGGAAAGGCATCCTGCATCGGCGGAACAACCTGATGGTGAGTACTATTTATATTGCTTATTTATATTATTTATTTATATTAATTATTATATCGCGTACACGTACTAATTTGAGTCATTTATTTGAATGGTGAAACAAGAAAGATTCAAAGAAAAAAGATTTTATGTAAATAATCTTATAAAACTTTCTCTTTAAAAAAATATATTTTTCAGAATTTAAAAAATTATTGCATATTTACTTATTTGTTTATTATTGCACATATCGGAAAATTCGGTGCGTACAATAATAATTAAAATTCGATGCGTACAATAATAATTAAATATAATGAAATATTAATTATTTTAAGAGCTGCTAAATATATAAATTTTATATTTGTATATTACAGACAACATAGCTTCAATATTGACAACTCGGCTGTTGCGCATCAGTGTCGGTGAGTGAAAAACTTTTAATTAATTTTAAGGTAAAAAATAGAGAAATAAAAATAAAAAATAGAGAGAAGTGGCTTCAGTGATTTGAACATCTTTTACGAATGAGAAATGGCTATATAAGATATTCCGACATAAACATCACAAGAAGGAAGAAGCATGACAAATTCTTATGATCTTGGAAATAACAAAATAGGTCATAACAATCCAAAGATTCGAAGAAAAGGATGCGTTGGACAAAGTAGGTAGTAATTAAGATAATAATTATAAGAATAAAAAAACAGCGTGCACTTATATAAAATTCCTTAATAATAATATTTTAATAATAATATTTTACAATTATGTTAGACTTTATAATTTATAATACATTATAGTACATTGTATTATATACATATAAAACATTAAACATTAGAACATTTTGCAGTTATGAAAATAATATATTGTAATAATATTATAATAAAATGATATAAAAATATTTGCTATATATAATGAAATATTCGAAGGTATATTTTATATTAAAGGAAGAAACATTTTTAAAATATTTTGCAAATATTTTTGGAGCTTTTTTCTTTTTCTGCTCTTTTTGGAGCATCTAATAGTATATGCATATAGTATGCACATACATATGTATAGTAAATTGTATAATGTATAATACAATGTAATTCTAGAAAACATTACGTGATTATTTGATACGCTAACATATATATAATTTTCTTAAACAAATTTTGTCTTTTACGAAAATATAGTATTATAAAACGAAAAAAGAGAGAGGCAGAGAGAGAGAGAGAGAGAGAGAGAGAGAGAGAGAGAGAGGAAGAAAGAGAGAGAGAACTGATTTATATTAGAAATTTATTTAATAAATAAGTATCTTGCGCTACGCAATTATACGCAGGATATCTCGTGTACATAGCATGGAACACAACCAAAAATTGTGCACATTATCCACTGAGAACATTGTCTAGTTCATATCTACGTTTTTAAACGTGTCCATAGAGGGCATATGGCTGTCAGGGATCACCTGAAAAGCAGACTAGCGTCTCTCGCTCTTCTCTCCGCTCACCGGTGCGTGGCGCACCCTGACGGAGAAGTCTAGCTGGTGACATCAGGGGTCGCTTCGCGCTGGCGTGGGTCCGCCGTCTCAGTGTCGCGCGTCCCCTCGCGCCGGTCGGTCTTCGTTTGATCTCGTCTCGCCGCAAGTTGCAACATTAACGCCGCGCGAACTATTAAAATGATCGCGACGTGAATCTCGTCGCGAGGATCAAGTGTTTTCTCTCCCACACGATAACTGTGCCCGTTTCAATTGTCTCACGCAATCGACAAGGATGCGGCGCGTCACGATTCTGTTGCCTCTGCTCCTCTGCATGTGTAAGTATACGAATTGAATATATAACCGGCCCTCGAATCACGCCGTACAGGGTTCTCTCTCTCTCTCTCTCTCTCCTCTCTCTCTCTCTCTCTCTCTCTCTCTCTCTCTCTCTCTCTCTCTCTCTCTCTCTCTCTCTCTCTCTCTCTCTCTCTCTCTCTCTCTCTCTCTCTCCTCCCTTCCCGCCTCCCGTCGGTATCAGTCTGTCAGGGGTGAATCACGCGGAGGGAAGACCGCCGATCGAAGTTTCCGGCGAAGTTGGCGACGCGTCTGCCCCGAGATCCCACGCCGATCGTCTCCCGACCGGTTGCCCGCGCCTGCAGTTTTTTCATCCTTTCCTTCTTTTTTTGCACCGGCTGACGGAGTGTAATTACGGCTAATTGACTCCGAATCGCGCGCCTCGACCGAGCCGTTCTCCCGGCGATTCGACTCGGAAAAAAATCGCGCATGAGCGCGCCCCGTAAAAGACGACGATACCTCGAGTCGTTCCCCCCGATGACTCGACGATATTGTTGCTCGGAAGAGAGATAGAAGCTACATTTAAACTACACATTTAAGCTACACATATACGTATATATGTATATAATCGCAAAAGAGGAGAAAGGGTGCAGTTATCATTTCGTGCGTGAGGAACTTGGAGGATATCTGACAAATGCATCGGCGCGATACGGCAAGCACGATACGTTTCCTCGAGCATTGTTTTACGCGCTCGTTGCACGCTGTTATTTGGCGATAAAATCACGCAATTTGCCAAGTAAAATATTTCGCTGTTACCGCTGTTTGTCTAGCGTGCAATTAAGCGTGTCGAGTGCGTGATGCGTAAAAGGATTTTGGAGCATTCTTATAGGTTCCCCGTTGATCTATTCACTCATTTTAAAAACATTCATTCTTTTCGCATGCTTGTCAAAGATCTCTCACGCTATGTATCATGAAAGAGATCTATTATACGTTATTTTTCATACGTACGTATATCAATTTATCAGCGCTAGGATTGTTTTCGAGATATAATACGATCGATAACACGGACCATAATGCTTGCGATTGAATTATGGGAGGAAATTGCGCGCGATTTATATTCCGTAAAAAAGACAATTTGACAGTTTCCCATTATTTTCTCACATTAAACGTTCATTTTGTCGTCGAATTTACAAGCAGGATTTCGGATTGTTACAAATAGTATTTTCGTGTATTTTCCGCTGCGAATTTAAAATCGAATCTTTTATTCGACTGCCAATTATTATAATCGATTATATCAGAGATATCGCGTCCGTTCTTCGGAAAAGAAACGGAAAAAAAGAACGAAAATAAGAGAAAAAGACTCTCTCTTCTCATCGTGTACCCTATCTCTAAATTAGCAACCTGAACTAAAGAGTCACGAGGGCAAAAAAATGAAGTATCCTCGCGCCTAAATCGGAGCTGGCCAATTTGCGTTCTCCTCGCGGATTCTCCCTCGGCTCTTACGAAGACTCGAGGCCGAGGCCCGAATGGTGGAAAGGATGCTGCCACTCTCCACCATGACGGCTCTCCTCTCAAAGAGGAGGAACCGGTTCGATAGCCGCGCACACACCTACACATAAGCGAGCGACGAGTCTGTACGCAGACTCGGTGTACGCGGGGAAACAGGGATGGCGGGCCGCGGGGGGGGGAGGAAGGGAGGAAGGTGAAAAGAAGAGGTGGTTGCCGTGTGGTATTACGTAGGTATATATACCTAATATCGGCCACCACGGGGTTAAAGGGGAGCAGGGAGGAAGGGGAGGTGCGCAAAATGTACGACGTAACTCTCGGAGAGTGCGCCATGGTACCCCCATGGCTGCCTCCCCCCTTTCCCCCCTTCTGCCCTCGGCATTCTTCGCTCTTTCATTCGTCCCGTTCCGGCTGTGCCACTCACCGGGACCACTTGGCCATTCATATTGGTCCGGTGCTCCTAATTACACGTCTCGAGTTACGGACGAGAATCGGGACGACGGGAACTCTGGAGACGTTCCGTGCCTCTGAAAGGAAGATAGGGGTACACGACGGAAAGTATATACACGAGCGTCCCCCTGCGTCGCGATCCTCGTCGTGTCTCCTCTCCGTCTCCTCTCGTCCGAACCAAATCCGGCTCCTTTTCGTTTTCTCTCTCCGTTCCTCGTCTCCTTCCCCCGCGAACGACGACTTTTTTTACGCCACTAACATAAGAGTCCTTTGTGCGAAGCCGCGCACACGACGGTTATTTCGTTCACCGAATGTTATTCGACGTGCAGCGTGTGTAACGCGTTTTCGTGTTCTCCTTCCGCTCGCACGTTATTAGCCGCAACGTTCTCTCTTTCTCTTTCTCTCTCCTCGCCTCCCCCTTCTCTCTCTCTCTCTCTCTCTCTCTATCTATCTATCTATCTATCTATTTATCTCTCTCTCTCACTCACTCATTCGGTTCTTCTCTTCGTTTTCTTCTCGTTCAAACGTTGCGTGACGTCGTCATAGTGTACACGTGTCTCGCTGTAGGGAGCGACGAAGAGGGAAAGAGGGAGAAATCGTATTAGCCCTTTGATCCCACGAGCCGCTGAAATGACTCCGGAAAGAAACAAGAGTGAAGGAGAGAGGCTAATAAAGACGCGGGTGGCGCGTAACGCCAACGTATAAAGAGCGATACCGACATTTTTTTTTCCGACGAGATGTCATCCGCGACACGCGCACGCATTCGTATCGCGTCGTTCCTCGTAACTGCAATTGCAACGCGGATTCGCATCGCGAGCGCACGTGAAATTTACATCCATTTACATATTTCGGGATATCGAGATCTAGCGAGTAGCTTTTAAAAGTTTCTTCTTTAAAAGCTCTCGTAATGAAACTCGTTAAGTTATATCTTCTTGTATCTTCTTTTAAAAGAGAACTTTTTACATATATAAATAGTGAGGAAATTTTTTAAAGATAAAGAAAGGCGTTAAAGATAAATAAATGATAATAGATTATTTATCAGAGAATTTATTTGATAATGCAAATAAGTTATCTAGAATAGAATTGTTTTATCTAAGGGGATACACTCATCAAACGTCCCAGGCTTTTTTGGAAATAACTCTTTCATCCGGCTGTTATCGCCTGTTGACACGTGGAATCGTAAGATAAACTCTCTATCGTTTCGAAGAGATACCTCGAAACTCCGGCCCATCTTTCGGCAGGAAATACTCCTTTCTCTTTTCCCCTCTCATCTCGTTTCCCAACCGCGTCGATCATCAGACCAACGGCGGTTCAAAGCGTGTAAAATGCCTCGCCATGAGTGAAGCCTGCGTTTGATGACCTTTGGGATGGAATCAGGGGAAGCGTGAATAATATATTTCGAGGAGCGAACCAGAGAGAAAAAGAGAGAGAGAGAAAGACTCTCGGATAGGCGACACCGGATTCTCTTTGATAAAATCCGCTTGCTCGTGTTGTCATTAAGTACTCTTGACGAAAATGGCACACTTCACATTCTCATCGTGGATCTCGCTTTGAATGAATCCTCTTTTTGACTGATTTCCGTAAATAGAAATCGCGCCAATGCAAACAGTTATATTTTTTTTTTTCCTGTGTCCTTTTTCGTTGAACGTTACGTTACGTTACATAATCGTGATTTGCGATATTTTTATTTGAAGGGTCATTTTCTTTACTCAACAAGGACCCTAGCGAATAAAAAGTTATATCTTCTAAAGCAGAAATTTTAATATTTAATAGAAAGAAAATAATTAGCTTCAATAAAAAAGTAAAGGGGAAACTATTTCTCGTGTGGCTTCGAGATATATGTAATTTCTTATTTATTATCAGAAATCAGTTATCTGTTTTCCTCGTATTTACACATTAAAAGTAAATTTTTGTCCACGTTGCCGAGATAAGATCAGGCCTAAGCTTCAAGCTTGGAAGATAAAAAAAAAATAGAAAACAATGTACTGCGCGATTGTCTTCATCGTTGTATAATATTTTATTTCTCTCTCTCTTTTTTTCTGTATTCTTTTCTTTCCGGGGCAAGATCGAGCGGTTGCACTTTACCTTCACTAAAAGGGCGTCGGTATTCGTCGAGTTCTCCTTTACTTTTTTTTATCCTCAGTCTTTCCTTTTTTTTTTTTTCGTATAATAAGTGTGCCTTACGTATGTTGTCTCGACGCAGCCCCTCAGGAGCAACAACTCTCGGGATGAGTTCAGAGTCGCGGAAGCATTCTGAGTGCATGAACTTTACGATGCTCAGACCGTCTGGAAGGCGGTACAGCGAACACAATTATTTGCACCCGGCAGCGTCTTGCTCAGGGATCTTAGCACGCGCGAGGTACTCGACACCCCCGATGAATACGCGCGGCGATTTTCATACACGTGGGTGATGCGAGGGGGCGTTGAAGAATCGGTCGGGGTACGAGGCAAATTTTTCCTTTCACACGCGCGCACCCGCCGAGTCTCGTCTGACGTAACTGACGGCCCGCGCATAATTCAGTCCGCGTGGTTCGCTGACTGCGAGCCGCGTGATAAAGTGCGCATTCTACGTTCACGCGATGAATTATGCATTCGGCGTGCGTTACATATATTCGCGCCGTGCTGCTGGGAACCGTTCTAATTGATACGAAGGTACAAGTTTCTGCGGCAAGGGGAGAGATTCTGTGCGAAAGCCATTTGGGAAATTCAAAAGTTATATATTAAAGTTATATATACATATTATTACTGTTATCTATTTTTTTCCCTTATAACTCATCTTTGTTATAAGAAATTTATTTAAAATTTATAAATTTATTATATTTTGTATTGTATCTATAAATTTATTATACATATATTTTGCATATAATAATTGTATCATTAATTATCTTTTATCAAAGATAGAGCGTTATATTCGATTAGACAATAGAAGAAAACAATAACGTTAGAAAGAGAAGAGAATATTTAGTTTTTTTATCAATAAACATGAAAAAAATATATTACATATTGGATATGCTACGACTTGATTTCAAATGTTTCATCGAAAGATTATACAAATTTCTATATATTGTATCTAGGCAGCGATCTTATAGATGAAGGGTTGCCATTTATAATAAACATAATTACTACATTAATGGGCAAAATATCAATTCAGAATATCAATCAAATCTATAACTATCAATTAGTACTTGTCTATATGTGAAAATAGCTTATATTTTAATAACTGTCGACCAGGTGAAATATGACGCAGAAATATAGTAACTTACGTAATCTGTTTAATTATAGATGGTTGCTCTTAAATATCAGCAATTAGGTGTAATATATAGAAGTCTATGATTAAGTGTCATTCTCAATTTCTAGTCGCGTAGCACAGACGCTCTCTTCGAATCGACCGATTATTTTATTTAAATTAATTATGCAAGCGATTTAAATTAATTATATGAATGATTTTATGAAAACGCGAAAAGTTTCCAACGGCTTCAAAAGCGATCTTTCGGTTTAAAGACTGTCGTTACTTTGGTCACGTGTACACACCGAGAAAAAGATTCCGTAGCATAACGAGCCAAGTTCTGCTTCTACCAGCACAAACTTTCTCCCTTCTAGTTTCATGATGCCTGCAAGAGGGATCGTGTACAGTGTACCACGAATAATAATCAAGAAGTGCTCCGACGAAAGGGAATCGCGAAACTACCCCAGACTACTGTGAGAAAACAACCCCTTGTGTTCGCGTCCAGACGAGTTAGTTTCTTGTCGTTTTCGATTCACCGGAAAGAGAAACATATAAGAGGAAAGCATTTTATGATTGTCTTATGATCTCTTTTTAGAGTCATTTAAGAATTAGAATCAAAAATTTTTTGATGGCATTCCATAAAATACAAAATAATTAAATTGTATCATTAATCCTTCTTGTGATATTTTTGTTTAATAATCTCTTATTTCTTTGGATGAAACTACGATTAAAATTATGCAATATTTGTATTACAATTTTCTTTGCAATATTCATTTATACTTATTTTAAATGAATAATTTTTCAGAATAACGAAATTAATTATCAACTGAGCTTGATTTATTGATTAGTCGATTTCCCACAAAGCTTTCGGTTAAATAAATTTTTAATCTTGAAAACTCCTATTTTTATCTCCTTCGAAATTTGCCATGATCATCGGCTATCCTACTGCTAGTCGACGATTTTACGACATATGTGACATCGTGCAGGCATTAAACGTGCGCAAGCACTTGGCATTGGACAACGTAGTCGAAAAATCGGGCCGCTTGTGTAAACGCCATAAAGCAACGTGCCTGCAGCTGTCGAGGAAAAGAGTAAAAGAGAGAAGGAAATGTTTAGCTCGAGAAGGAAGCCAATCTCAAGAGTAAGTCGTAAAAGCGGTCGTGTTTATCCCTGGAGGAGGCTTCACGACCAACAGGATCGGCATATTCTTTTTTTGGACGCTGTCCTTCTTTCTTTTTCTCTCCCCTTTTTTTTCTCTCACTGATAAACCTCGGTAAAGATTGACATCGAGCCGCATTCGAAGATACAGCCTAACGAGAGCGTTGAAAAGACATGATTCGGTCGTAAAGCTCGCCGCATTAGTTTATTTTCTCGAGTTCCCGTCGTAATCCGGGAACCAATGAGTGATAAGCAGACGATATTTTTAAAAGGTATTTTTCCATCGTTCGTGTGGCTGATCGCGGCTCTCGCTTTCCGACGAGACGCGGTCCGGAATCAATGGTTCCTTTGACGTTGCGCGCGCATGAGTCGCGAATCCGCCGTAAAAATGCGTATTTTCTGCGTCCGCGTATATAATTACAACAAAAGATCGACTGTAATATCAGTTAATATTGATCGCATAATCGCTCTGCAATATGAAATTTTGTAACTTTTATTGTTAATTATAATATCGTTACCGATTGTAATTTTATGTTCAGACGTAGACGAAGATATTTTTTTTTTTCAAAACAAATAATAACTGCTTTTAAAAGCACATTTTGCTTTTGAAAGGATTGTAAAATTTAAAATGATAGGGTACCGCGGCGGTATTAGAACACAGGAAATACCTGAATCCACAATTACAGATAGGAAGACTATGGCAGAGCCCGTTCAAAGATAAATAAAAGATCTAGGGGTCCCTCTGATAGATTTATGACCGTGCATTATGGTCTCCATCGCACACGGATGGCGGTTAAATTATATTACATTTGGGATCACACGGAGATATTTGTTATTGATCGAAATAAATTACACATCAAACGTTAAAAATATATATATATATATATATATATATATATATATATATATATCATATATACAATTACATTTTAAATCGGATGCATATGTTCTCAAAAATAGCATTTGAAAACACGACGAAAATAATGGTCGGAGCAACGACGAATGGCAATTTTAAAATACCGAATAATTCGAATTTATCAGCAGGACTCCGCATTCTTTCACAAGATCATTGACCGGTATCTCTGTTGTTTATCTCGAATAATGGGAGTTATTAGTGCGGAGAGGGAAAAGCGTGGTTCCAACCGCGTATCTGAAATTTGAACGCGAGGTGGATTATATAAACGAACGCACGATATAATGTATAATATTTCGTCCATTGTAACCGCGACGGATTAATTATTCTCAAACACTTGTACAGAGACGCGCTATAGTGGCGCGTTGCCTGAACGGGAGATCGATGGTATGAGAGAGACGGCGAGCAGTCACACGGATGCACACGGTGCACACGTGTTCCCGGCCGGCGGCCACGGCCGCGGAGGAACACCGATCGATTTTCGCCCCGGTACAGAGGATTTAATCTACACTGGTGCGGCCATTGTATGCAAAATGCGTACGCAACGGTCGCCGTACATAAGCTCGCGAATCTCACGAATTTACTTGCGTATGTGGGAGTTCGTACATCGTACACATATACACATCCTTATATATGTATATCCCTTGAACGCGCGATTCTCTCCTCACGGGCATTTTTTTCCTTTACATATTTCATATCATCCGGTGATTCGATCATTTCTTTGTATCTCACTGTAATCGTTTGATTAAGATTACTTATACGCGCACATTCTTGATTGTACGAGTAATATGTATACGATTAAAAATATACAGGGTGTTTCAGACCACCCGTACCACCCATTTAAAGACTAGCGAAATGGTTATTTCAAAAAAGTAAAACCATTTTTTTTATAAATCGGGTGCGCTCTATCGAATGGTGGTGGAAAAATAATTTATTATAGTGTTTCGGAAAGCTCTCGAGGTAAGCTACAAAAATATGGAAAAATAGGAGGTTCCATTAAAAAAAATGCACTTCCGGTCTGAATCGCCTATTTCCGGCCGGAACCAGAAGTTGAAAATATCACCATTCGATAGAGTGCCCGAGTTATAAAGAAAAGTTTTTACTTTTTTTAAATAAGCACTTCTCTAGTTTTTAAATGGGTGGTACGGATGGTCTGAAACACCCTGTATATTCAAATTTGTAAATTGAAAACAATTACATCATTCTTTGATGAATGTGTTAAAATATAAAAAATAAATAATTTGTCTACGATGGTCTAATAATAAAGTTAAACATACATATGAATTTGATCGATTTTTAATATTTATAACCAATATCGAATGTTTATTATTAATAAGTTATTTTTTTACAGTAGCACTCGCTCACGAACAGGATGGCGAGCTTTACTTTTCGGTGAGTCCCGCGGAACATTCGGCCATCGAAGGATCGCCGGTTCGTTTGAGATGCGAGGCTCAACCAAGCTCGCATGTTAAATACTCGTGGAAAATGGACGGACAGCAGCTTGCTCCTAGCCCGCGAAGGCATCAGGTCGAGGGCGATCTTTACATCACGAGGGTCAGTCGGATCTTGGACAGTGGAAGTTTTGTTTGTGTAGCCATGCACGAGGAAACCGGTTACTCGATTGAAAGTTCGCCCGCCAAGATTAACGTTCAATGTAAGTCTTATCGAATCTTTACGCTTATCTTCGCTTACACTTGCGATATAATTTAACATCGCTTGCTTTTAATTTTATAATTATCTGATCTCTCCTTTCCTAGAATTTCGTTGCGATACCAAATATAATATTACACACGGCAAATTTTAAAATTTAATTTACATTTTCATTATCAATTTTCATATCTCACTTTCATAAATTAACCAATTTAATTTTATACTTGTCATTCATTTTCATAGATATTTTTGGGATGACAATTGAATTTATATTCATATTTATATAATATATTCGATAGATATTTACTTGCGCGGAATTGTAATATGTTCATTGCCTGTATAAAATGTCATTTTAGTATGAGTTTTAATTATATTAGTCTCAATTAAGTATCGCAACGGAAACATTTAAATTAATTAAAGCTTTTCCTGGCAGCGCGGAAAATAATATGCAAGTTAATGTTTCATGAAATATACGCGCAAACACATGCATTATATCATTAACGATTAAACGAGCGTAATGTGCAACTCGCTCTTTGCTATGCACACGAAGTGTACTGCATTTAAAAATGTTATCTGACGGTAAATGCTCGAATTAACTTTAGTGTGCATTTATTTACCCTGTAACGGAGCAGCGAGATCATATATCAAAGGATTACGTACTCATTACGTACATATCTGGATTAAATATTAACAGCCCCTGTCTATTTCAATATATTATAACGTCTATTTGACGTAGAAAAAATTCAGTTAATTAACTTCGATAAGCTCAGGTAATTTAAATCATATTTGAGAGAGAGGATAGGTTTTTTCATTGGAAAGAATATTTTTATGTCGAGTGCTAAACTTGAAATAAACATTATATTACTTTATTTTGATCAGATTTATATAAAACATGATAAACAGATATTCGAAAATTATTTATTGCATGTGTTTAGAATTATTTGCAAGAATATTTATAGAAACAAAACGATATTTTCTGATATTTTTATAATTCCTTTTTGATCAATCTTTACTAAAATTACAGTCAAGTTGATGCGAATAAGTCTAAACCAAATGTGCTTATATCTAACGATATTTCGCTAACATCGAATTAGCTAATTTTATCAGATATCTGATTAACGAGCGGAAATATGGCTTTATTATTGATTTAGCGCGCGCATTGTATTATCGTCCATGCGGAAACACGCAAATTAAACGCTTCTCACGAGAATTTCCGGGACTAGAAGCGAAAATTGGATCTCCTGATATTTCCACGAGAAATCAAATTTGAATGTAAGGCATAATTTACTATTAATTTATTGCTTTAACCTCGAGTCTCCTATTAATTAGTAAAGTGAATAATAAATTCGAAAATAAAATGAATATTAGTAAAATGAATAATAAATTAGAACAACAAATTAACAATAAACTAATTTATCTCATTAGTTAACTTATTCCATCTGAATGTGATTTCTTTCGTGTGGAGGTATCAAGTTAACGGAGGTGAAAATGCGTACTAGTCATATAGCGGCACAAGCTCTCATAAAGTATATACACTAGCTACACGACGATGCGACTGGGCCGGCCCGATAAACCGATATAATCCGCCATTCAGTCGGCAGCGTTGCTCAGTCAACAAAGGGAAGTGAGACGGTGGTAGGCCTCGTCATCATTGCTCGGGGGATTCGAAGGAGCGAGAGAGAAGCCCGTCGCCGAAGCCGCATCATCGTCGTCACGGTACTTTTTAATCGTCCCGTCTCCGCAAAAGAGCAGATCAAACGCCTCATGCGCAGAAATTACACGGGCCGAATGCGAAGTGAAATAGGAACGGTGTAGGAAAGGAGACTGGGATCGAGAGGGAAGGAGAGGAAAAACAATAGGGAGCTCGCCGGGTCGCAGAGGGAGACAGAAATCGATTCGTGATGGGTCGAGAGCTACGGCCTCCCCGTCCATACCCTCTCCAATTATTCGCCCGCGCGACATTAATTAAGCAAGATAATTTGCTCTCGTACCGCTCGCTGCCCAATATGGCATCCACGGCTACGTCGGCTTTCTCGCGTTCATATTTTAATGATTCGAGTACGCTCGAGGGTTCGTTCTAGTTGCAAATATAATTTCGCCGATGCCAAGAGAGAAGGAGAGAGAGACCAAGAGAGAGAAATAGCGAAAAATATTTATGTATACACGTCCGTCCATCTACGTGAGCATTTCTACGTGTCAGACTGCACAAAATGAGAGATGGAAAAGCTTAAAAGTAAAAAAAGTAAATAACGCGGATATGGTGTCTGAATGAGTAATGAAAGAATTTCACAGAAAAAAGGTACATGTTAGATTGTCACAAACGTTGAAAGAAACCGAAGAGAAGAGACGATGGGAAAGGAATAAACGAGAAAGGGAAACGGTTGCGAGTGCATCGTTAGCGTACCGGTCGCGACTCGTTATCATGTATCGCTTCGTAATCACTATTATACGCAGTTGCCAAGCCGGGGAAGTATAGCCGATGTAAAGTATAATGCATTTAGTGCGTGCTTAATATCGACGCGCCGATTTCATTTAGTAATTGCGATAAACATAGCAACGAATATGAAAATACGTTTTTCGCGATTCTCTTTGTTTCGCTTTGAATTTCATCTAATCGGCAGAATTTTTAATGAACGATGTCTTATGAACCTAATGAATATATATACGCGATTTGTTATTGCATTATATATATATTTTTTAAATATCTATTTAAAATGAAAGAAAACATTATTCTTTTCTTTTTCAAATATTATATAAATGAATTTTATCGCATACAATTTTATTCCATATTTCATCGTTTTAAACTTATCGAAAATATAAAACAATTTTTCAATAAAATAATTTTAAATGAAATAGTGTGCGCGTGACTCTTCATCGCAGCGATAAAAGCGACAAACGAGAGACGACCAATTTTGCGAAAAATCGGATATTCTGTCGGACATTGTAACTGCAATATTATATATAATAATAAACGCGATAATCATTGTATCACTCAAAATTAATAAGGAAATTTCTAATTCCCCGTGTACTCATGAGAAGACGAATTTAGTTTAACAGTGACATTGACAGCCATATCCAATCGCTAATTTAATCCGCATTTATTATTAATATGGCATTCTCGATAGCAATTACACGGTATTTGCGGGCGATTACCTATGAAATATGAAATCGGTCTTGAAGAAAATAATTAAAGAAAAACGCGATTTTTACGATGGAATTTATTTATCTATTTATATTATTAGTTTCACCGCTTAATATGACACTCGTTCAAATCATTATATTTGTAAATTAATATAAATTGTATATTAATATAATTTGTATATTAATATAAATAATATTCACAATATATATTCACACAGTATATATTATTTCATATATTTGTTTCATCTATAATAAAAAAATAGAACAATTAATAGATTTATTAAACAAAAAATAAAGAGATAATTACAATATTAATTTGCAAATTTTATTGCATTGAATAAATACGTATGTTTTTATTTTCATTCGCGCTCAATTTCGATGGAGAATAATAAAAATCTATATGATGGCATGGAATAACGTGTCATTATCTAAAAGTTTAGAAAAGAGAGAAATAATTCGTATATATCTATACTGTAACGTGCACGTGCAAGTCAACCGCGCAAACATACATATATTCACGAAGCGTTCGTTACGAAAGCATTTTAGTCAATCCTTTAAACCACGCGGTTTAATACCTAAATCTCTCCGTCACGTAGGGAGAGCTTGGCGTGCAAGCACGAGCAGCAGTTCTCCCACATCGCGTATTTTCGTTTCATTAAATTTAATGACCGACCATATTTCCGTGTATCCGGCGACGAGTCCTTTTCGGGACAGTAATTTGCGTTACGGAGGGGTTTACCGGACGATGAAAATACAGTTTCAGGCAGTTTGGCATCCAGACGCACAGGAGACAACTCTCGTCGTTACTTCCCGCTTTTCCCTGGTCGCGACGGAATCAATTAGAAAGTCGTCCGGGCGATTAATCGATAAATGAGTCCGCAGAGTATCGAAGGCATGAGATAAATTACATCTATAAAATGTAGGATCGGACGATGAATTGATGTACGTATATGTTTGGGGCTACGGATAATAATTACTTAAATCAATTAGTGTCGCGGCAAATATCGAATCATACAGCAAACGAATATGTCGAATAAATTTATCCGCAATTTATTTGCAAGTATAATAACCTTTAATTAGGTCCAAAATCGGTTAACGTTTCTCATTAACATATAATTATGCATTAACAACAATGCTGATGAAGTACATCCTGACTCACGTGCGATTGAAATTCCAACGAATGCAACGGGATACTAAATAATCGTTAATTACCATTCACAACGATACGCGCAACTTCTAATATAATCAAGATTAACTGTGCGCATTCGATGATATATTCTATTTCCACGTGTTCGGAATCAATGTTTCTGTTGCAGAATATTGAAATAAACAATGCATGACACGGATATACTTTGCTTCCGGCAGTAGAATAATAATACAACTCGTTAAATTCCTCTTTTCCCATATTGAGTATCAATTCAACTATTGTTTTTAATGTTAAAATCTTAAAAAGCTCCCACTAAGCAAATAGCGTTATTCCTGATTAAAAACCGAGTCGAAAAGTCCTAAACCATTTTTTGAGTAAAGTCGCGCCAATAAAAAGACAAACTTCCTCGTTATCAACAAGATTTGGATAAGCAAAAAAATAAACTGTTTTGTGTTAATTTTTAAAAACAATTCATCTTTTCAGAAATCTTTTTAATACTTAAATCTGATTAATTATTTAATAAATCTTGGAAAAAAAATGGTTCAGGACTTTTCGACTTGGTTTTTTAATCAGGAATAACGCTATTTGCTTAGTGGGAGCTTTTTAAGATACACCCTGTATATATAATTTTATCTTATCAAATTATTTCATTAAAAACTTCTCAGTAAAATTGAATGAAACTAAATTCCATCCTATTCTTATCGAGCAATCGAGAT